GGAAATGCACGGCAGCAGGAGCCTGTCAGCACCGCGGCAGTCAGGATCCAGAGAGAACACATTGCATCCCTTCACACAAATGAGAGAGAGCCCGAGAGAGGGAAGGAAGTGAGGCCAGGCTGTAAAGCCTCAAAGCCCACCCCCAGTGACATACTTCCTCCAGCAAGGCTCCACCCCCTAAAGGTTTCGTAACACCCCCACCTCAAACAGCGCCACCTGCTGGAAGCCAACTAGACAGCGCACGGACAGGGAACATTTCTTGTTCCAACCACAGCATCTAAAGCATTTCCTCCACCATCTCATTATACCGGTTCATATGCAAGGAAGCTGGACCTCGGGAGATTTAAAGAAGTTGTCTAGAGACACCCACCGGTCTCTCCATTCTGCACCACTCACGGCACAACTGGTACGCAGTGAGCCTGAGGTGTGAAAAAAGGATTTGTCAGGTGACAGCTGGTCCTGGGGCTGCAGAAGGGAAGTGGCCAGGAGCGAGGGAAGAAAGTGAACCCCCGGCAACAGCCTATGGCAGGATGAAGCTACACCGTCCTTCACTCAGGCTTAGCAGTCACCCATGTGTAAAGTTGTAAAGCTGTTAATTTTAGGGCTCTAAATTATGCTGTGTGAGCTTTAAATCCAGCCCATAATTAGAATAAAATGTGAGAAAAGTGAAATTGATATTAAGTTAATTAAAAGGCTTTGCTTATATTGCAAGGAAATTAGCACAACAGAGTGGGAATGCTGACATGTGCTCATTGTTAATTTCTTCCGTTTGGGCAAAGCTCAGCAGGCCTCAGGCAAGCCTTACTCTCCGCCTTGTCCCCCCTTCTCTCCGCCCCCTCCCCCCACCACATAGCCATAGTACTTGGATAGCTGATTGCACATCCGTCCTGTGGAACCATCGAAGTCAATCATATATGCATCCCGTGGGGATTGCCAGGCTCGATTCTGGGTTCGTATCACTGGGATCATTATGGTAGCTCACGGATCCACCTTACTGGGATTAGTATGGTCAATCACATGTTTGTATTATCGGCATCACTGAAGTTTCCCCTGGGCAAAAGCCAGAGTGATCTTGCCATCGAGGGGCTCATGGAATAGTTGTCTATTAAGAAATAGGCTGTCTATCTGCACTTGGGATCTTGTCTTTTTTTCCCCCTTTCTTCTTTTTCCTCAGGCTTTTGAGCCAGAGTTTTGCTCTGTGATCTAGGCTCTAACATTACATTCTTGATTCCCCGCTCCAGCCTCTGGAGTGCTGGAATTCCAAGTGTAAAGGTGTATGTCACCATGCCCACCTGCGTCTGTTTATGGTTTTTATTTTTTCATTTTTCCATTTATGTATTTATATAGGTATGTTTTTCTTTTTTTTAAATTTTGTGTCTACTTTGTTTCTTTGAGGCAGGGTCTCTCACTGACCCGGGACTCATGACGTAGGCTCAGCTAGCTGGAGGGTGAGCCCCAGGGTTCTGACCATCTCTGCTTCAGGGTCCCTGAGAGTACAAGTGTATGCCACTGTATCAAGATTATTTTTATTTTGTTTTCAATCTGGATTCTGAGGATTGAACTCAAGTCCTTATGTGCCAGGTGGGGGCTTGCTCATTCCATGACACGGCACACATGTGGAGGTCAGAGGACAGATTTCAGGGGGTCAGTCCTCTTCTTCCAATATGTAGACCTCAGGGGTTCAAACTCAGGTCATCAGGCTTAATAGCAAGTGCCTTCACCCCCTGAGCTCTCTTGCTGGCCCTGACTTTTTTTTAATGTATATGTATGACTGGTTGTGTGTGTGTGTGTGGGGGGGGGCGGGTGCACATGGACATGTATGTATATACACAGGAAGGCCAGAGGACAACCTTTAATATTGTTCCTTGGATTACTTTATTTATTTGAGGCAGGGTCTCTCACTGACCTGTTGCTCATGAAGTAGGCCAAGGTAACTGGATGGCGAGCCTCCGGGTTCTGATGATCCCTGCCTGCTCCCTCCTCAGTGAGAGTACAAATGTGTGCCACCTGTATCCAGATCTGGTTTTTAAAAAAATCTAGATTCTGAGGATTGAACCCAGGCCCTTATACTTGCAGGGCAAACACTAATTTACTCTGTGAGCCTTCTCCCCAGGACTCAGTCTCTGTTTTCAGTATGATCTGCAAATACCAATAATAATGATAATAACTTAAATAATAAGGGGGGGTGGTAGAAAATGGCCGGAAGGAAAGACACCTATTTCCTCTTTAATGTTTATTATTGTCATTATTTTCAACTATGTATGTGTATCTGTGTGTGGGTGTGTATGTGAGTGTAGGGGTCTATGCAAGCCAAAGGAGAGCGTCAGAGCCCCTGAAGCCGGAATCACAGTTGGTTGTGAGCTGCCTAACATGGGTACTGGGAACTGAACTTGGGTCCTTTGTAAGAGCAATAGTGCTTTTAACCAGAAAGGCATCTCTCCAGCCTTGAAAGTCACCTATTTGGAAGCCAGCATCTGTATTTAATCTGTTGTTGGCTTTAAGAAAACAAGTTTCTTCTCAGCGTTCCAGGTTCCTGTTTACAGGATAATCACTCCTACTTATGTTCGTTGTGGAGCCGAGGCGATAAGTACTGAAATATAGAGCAGCTGTTTGCAGTTATAACAACTAAATAATATATGCATTGTCTTTATTATGGCTGATAGAAACTGGCGTTTTCCAAGACGAAGCAAGGCGAAAAGGTTAGTTTAAGAATTAGCAATTAAAAAAACCAAAAAAAAAAAAAAAAAAAAAAACCCAAAAAACCCTGGCCTCTGCTGTCTCTGCATTCTAAATCATGCAAACATTTAAGTTTGTGCCAAAGTCACCCAATTGTCTTTCAATTACCGAAATGCATTCAGAGATAAAAACGGAGTTCAGGGAAGAATATTTAAGAGCTCTTTAATGAGGTTAAAATCCTTACTAATTTGCCAAGTTTCTGTGAAATCTACTTTGATTTTTCATGTTTTTTTTTTTGTTGGTTTGTTGGTTTGTTTTTTCCTGTCTGCCCATCTTCCTGCAGTTGAACTGATTCCAGGAGTTTTTAAATAAAGGGGTGAAGAGGACTGTGAAAGTCTACAACCTCAGGAATTATTTCTTTTCCTTTATTAGCTAAAGGTGAATATTCAGGGAGCTGTAAAAACCCTTGGGCTTCGTATACTCTCTGTAAGCTATTCAAAAAGAGAACAAAGCTGAGCAGTGGTTATAATAGGTGGTTTGAATCAAACTTTTTTTTTTTTTTTTTTTTTTAAAGACACGATTCTGTGCTCCCTGGCTAGTTTTGAATTCACGCTGCAGCCTAGCCTGGCCTTGAACTTGCTTTGCAGCACAGTATGATGGCTAGCTTTCAATGTCAATGTCTTAGGGTTTCTGTTGCTGCAATAAAACACCATGACCAAAAGGAGCTTGGGGAGGAAAGGATTTATTTCTTCTGTGCTTCCAGGTAAACAGTCCGTCAGGGCAGGAACCTGGGAAAAGGAACCAAAGACAGGAACTGAAGTACTGGCCATGGAGAAAGATGGCCTATTAGCTTGTTCTGTCTGCTCTTTTATATACCCTAGGACCATTTGCCCAGGAGTGGTACCACCCACAGTGGGCTAGGCCTTCCCTCATCCATCACTAATTAAGAAAATGACCCACAGGTTTCCCCACAGGCTAATTGGGTGGGGGCATTTTATCAGTTGAGGTACCCTGTTCCCAAATGACTATAGTTCTGCTAAGTCAACATCAAACTAGCCAGTGAAGTGAACTTCATTCAGCCTAGAATCACCCAGGAAGAGAATCTCAATGGGGGATTGTCAACATTGGACTAACTTATGCAAATGTCTGTGGGGGGTTGTTTTAGTTAAGTCAGTTGATGTAGGAAGACCCAGCCCACTGTGGGCAGCACCATCCCCTAGGCAGAGGGTCCTAAACTTGATAAGAGTCAAGAAATCAACCTGAGCACAAGCAAGTGAGTGAGCCTGCATGCATGCATTCATTTCTCTCTGTTCTTGATGGTGAGTGTGATGTAGCTGGCAGCTTTGGGCTCTTGCCTCCTTGCCTTCTCTACACTGATGAACTGTAACCTGGACCTGTGGGCTGAAACAAATCCCCTTTCCCCTTAAGATATATATACATATATATGTCAGGCCATTTCATCACAGCCACAGAAATGAAATGAGGTATACTCAGGCTGGCCTTGGACTCAGAATCGTCTTGTATCATCCTCCCCCAGTGCTGGGAGGCATTGTGCATGTCTCATTTCTTTAACTTTTCTATCGTCTTCCTCATTCAAATCTTAGCTTGCAAAACTAAAGTTAGTCCATGTCTCATGGTCTCCCCATCCACTTCCTGAAGCATCATTATTCATTCCTGCTCTTTGGGGGTCATAGGAGATTTTAATCTGTTTGCTCCGCCTCCCCCTACATACACACACAAGAAAGGATATAGCATTCACAGTTCACATTTTCATTAAAGTGGAAGTTAACTTTCCAGAAGTGTTTCTCTTGAAAGCCTGAACTAGAAAATTCTATAGCATTGAGTTCCAGACAAGGGTCAGTGAAAGTGACCTGAACGCAGTCAGCTCTCACCATAACCACCTAAATAAAGTCCAGGGCATTTCCTGCAATGGACGAGGAAGGGGTTCTGAAGTTAGATAATAGTCTGTATTAGTCAGCTTTGCATGGCTGTGACAAAATCATTGAGGCAACCAAATTAAAAAGAGGAAAGACTTATTTCAGTCTGTGGTTGGTCGGCCCGTGGTTTGGGGGCCTTTAGCAAGAGGGTCCTAAACTTGATAAGAGTCAAGAAATCAACCTGAGCACAAGCAAGTGAGTGAGCCTGCATGCATGCATTCATTTCTCTCTGTTCTTGATGATCAGAGAGGATGTTTGTGGCTGAGAAAGATGCTCATGGATGGCATAAAGAGAAAGAGGAAAGGTGAGGGGGGAGAGTCTAGGAGCCCAATATCTCTTTCAGGGGCACTCCCAGGGACCTCACTTTTACCCATCAGGTCCTGTTTCTTTTTTTTTTTAATACAAAGAAAATATTTTTATTTGTGTATCAAAGACTAAGGTTAGTTAACAGCTGATGTCAAGACACAAAAAAGGTTTGAGAAGCTACAGATAATCACTGTTGGATTGACTCAACCTTCCTTGATTATTTCAAAGAGCATCTGATATGCTCATAATCTTAAGCATGATGTATCCAGGTGACAGAATGATAGTTTCTTTCCATTAATCCTCAGCTTCTTTCTTTTTTTTCTTTTTCTTCTTTTTCTCTGGACTAGGAATTGCTGTGCTGGTGCATGGCTCTTCGTCGGAAATCGGCTCTTCCTTAATGTGTTTCTTTTTATCCTTCTTCTTTTTCTTCTTTACTGATGGCTCCTCTTCTACTACCTGTTATTCTTCCTCCTCTGCCTCCTCCACCTCCTCCTCCTCCTCCTCTACTTCAGCTTTAATTTTAATCTTGGCTTTTTTTGGTTTCTTTTCAGTAATTTCATCCTCTTTATCTACCTCTTCTATTTTGCGTTTTTTAGAACAAGTTGGAAGTGTGGAGTCACCAGAGGGATCATATGTCTTCACTTCACTTTTGTGTTCATACTTTTCTGCTTTTGCTAAGGCCTTTCCTGTTCCACTTATTTTTCTTATCCCTCGGTCCTCCAAAATTCTCAATCTGGCCTCTAATTTGGCTCTGTTCTCAATTCCCATCGCAGAACTGGAATCTTCACCAAAAGCATCGTATCGGATAGCCAAAACCGTTTTGGCGGCCAACATTCGAGAAATCTTTCCTTTGTGTTTGGGACTTGACTGGCCTGGGTACACAGATCCTGTTTCTTGAAGATGTATGTTTATTATGTATACAGTGTTCTGCCTGCATGTGCACCTGCAGGCCAGAAGAGGGCACCAGATCTCATTACCAATGGCTGTGAGCCACCATGTGGTTGCTAGGAACTGAACTCAGGACCTCTGGAAGAACAGCCCCTGCTCTTAAACTCTGAGCCATCTCTCCAGCCCAGGTCCTGTTTCTTAATGGTTTGATTCTATTGTCTGCTTATCAAGCCCTCAACACATGGACATCTGGGAAACATTCTAGATGGAAGTGATGTAAGAATCTCAAACGTCCATTTGGGTATTTAAGAAGGCCAAGGCAAAGCTTTGGGTTTGGGAGACTCATGGTGATGGTTAATCTCCATGGTCACCTTGAATACAGCATGACCAGCTGCTTCCTATTGTCGATATTCTTTTTCCTCCCATAATAGACAGTGTCCTCCAAGTGTGAGCCTATGTGGCTTCTGCCAGGTGTTTGATCACAGCAGTAACAAAAGTGACAGACACACTCACATAGCATTGGCAAGCTTAAGTTTACCCATCTGGAGGGTAGCCATTGTCCCTATAAGTCCAACAAAACCTCTGCAAAGTGAAATGTACAGAATGTCTTTAAAAGTAGCTTGGTGTAGAAGACTGTGGAATAGCGTTATTGATGAGGTGATGGGGACAGTTACGGCCACCAAGGAACAAAACTAGTAATCCCCCACAGCTCAGTTTTGTCCCCTGTAAAAATCTAGAGAGTGGAGACATGCATTCAAATTCTGGAATTTTATGGAATCAGAAAGATAGATTTGTAGTCGGGCGGTGGTGGTGCACGCCTTTAATCCCAGCACTTGGGAGGCAGAGGCAGGTGGATCTCTGTGAGTCTGAGGTCAGCCTGGTCTACAGAGTGAGATCCAGGACAGGCACCAAAACTACACAGAGAGATCCTGTCTCGAAAAAACAAACAGACAAGAAAAAACCCCAATCAAACAAAAGATAGATCTGTGTTTGACAGATGGCTCAGTTGGTAAAGTGCTTGTTACATGAGCATGGAGGCCTGATTTTTTGTCCCTAGAACCCAGGTAAAAATGCCAGATGTGGTAGCAGATGCTTGCAATTCAAACTAAGGAAGTGGATGCAGGAGGACCCCTGGGGCATACCAGCCAGTCAGCCTAACCCAATGGGCGAGTTCCAGACCAGTGAGAGACCCTGCCTCAAAAAACAAGGTGGGTGGCTCAGAAGAATAATACCCAAGGTTGACCTCTGACCTCTCCATGAATGTATCTACATGTACTTGCATACATATGCATACCTCAGTGGACACATACTCACATGTACACATACATCTGCTCAATAAATACATAAGGTGATTTTTATGGATAAGTGAGTACAAGTATCTGCATCTTTAAAATATTTATTTTTCTTTATGTGTATATGTGTATGAGTGTATGCATATGAGTGCAATGCCCACAGAGGCCAGAAGAGGGCATCAGGTTCCCTGAAGCTGGAGTTATAGGTGATTGTGAGCCACCAGATGTAGGTGCCTGGGGCAGAACTTTAGTCTTTTGCAAGATGAGCAAATTCTGCTAACCATTGAGTCAGTTCTCAAGTCCCCAGATCTGCATCTTCAGGAATAGATCTAAAGGGATGGGAAGTTATTTTTCCATGGTTTTCAAAATGCTATCTGTATATTCTTCTGATCAAAAGGTGGCATTTAATCCTCCTCTAGTCACTTATGTTCTGGCCTTAATGTCTTCTAGTGGGCAGAATCCAGTGAAAGAATGTCTCATGACTTCTGAGGCTGGATCACAAAGGATAACAGAACTTCCGCCCTGGAAGCTCTCTGGGAAAGCCATGTTGGATAGTCCACCTGGAAAGACACGGATTCCCAAGGAACCAATCTGTGTTTGTCCACTCACCGGACACACAAGCTGGCTACTCTTCCAATCGCTTCGACTCCCAGATCCCCCAGCCTCCTCCAGCCGATACCAAGAGATCTAGTCTATACTCCAGATGTCCCCACTCCCAAGTCTAGACCCAATGGCAAATTCATGAGCAAAATAAATGTGGCTCTTGTTTTGAGCCACTAACTTTTTATACAGCAATAAATCACTGGTGCAGGAGGGCAGTATCCTAGTGCTTAACAAGGGGATTTTCTTTTTTTCTTCAAAACACGGGAAGTGGCAGACTCCAGATGAAGGCGCTGATAGCAACACTAACAGTCATAAAGGTAACAACAGAGAGCACTTACTGAGCACATGTTTCATGTACCGGTCACCGTGCTAAAGGCTTTATATGGACATAAAAACGGGTAACGAGGGTTTTGGCAAGTCTCGGATTCACCTGCCGTCATCAGACCGTGGGCAACAACCTGATTACTGCAGGGGAAGTTAGGCCAGCCAAGAATTTCAGATATCTTTGCAGCTACGTCTCTGGCAGTTGGTCTGGGCCACTGTGGAGCACTGCTGGATACAGATCGGGAGGACAGGGCTGTCTCTCGATGGCTTCATCCCAGCGGACATCGCTTTGGTTGCTGTGACAGTTTGAATGTGAAGTGTCCCCCTCAGAGGCTTGTGTTGAATACTTGGTTCCCAGAAGTGTTTTGAGAGGTTGTGGAAACTTCGGGAGAGAGGCGGGGAGGGCTTAGCTGGAGGAAGTAGGTGCCTTGGTGACAGGTCTTTGGTGAGTATCTTGTCCTTGTTTGTTTTTGTTTTGTTTTTTGTTTTTGTTTTGTTTGTTCTCCTTGTTGTGCTCTCTCTGATTCCTATGTGACATAAAGACCTGTCTCTGGGGGCTGTGGAAATGGTTTCGTCAGTAAAGTCATGAAGACCTGAGTGTGGATCCCTAGCACCCACGGAAAAGTTGGGTGTGGTGCTGTGTGCCTGTGACCCTGGTGCCGGAGAGGTAGGGAGAGTCAGGCACATCCTTGGAGTTTACCGAGCAGGCAGGGTGGCCAATCAGTGATCTCTGAGTTCAGTGGGAGCTCCCGTCTCAAGAAGCATGGTAGAAAGTGACTGAGGAAGCTCCCCTGTGTTTACCTGTGTCCTATGTGCGCGTGCAAATAGAGCGTGAGCCATTTGCTCCTTCTAGATGTGAGGACACTGTAAACATACAGTGGACTTTCCTCTCTGGGGGTTACATCAAATATACCTCAGGCTTCTTTTTATTCTGATGGTACAGTGAGCTGGTTTAAATTATGATCTCCTTGCAGAGGAAACAAATCACTTTTTCCAGAGTGACAGCATCTCTTGTTTAATTTTTACTCTGTGTGAGTACATGCACATGCAAGCGTGTGCATGCAAACACACACACACACACACACACACACACACACACATGATTGAACACATACTGGCGTGCAGGGGATGTAACAAGCTATTGCTTCTCATGCTTGACTGACTTCCCTGTTTATGTGGGGGAACTTCTGAAAGAACTTCCAATTCCCAGCTCCCTCAGCCTGGAGGTTCACATTTTATTAGTACAGGTTGAGGCATCTAAAGTCTGAAAATATAAAATGTAATAAGCACCCAGGTCTGACACTTTCTGTGAGATTGATGCGCCAGATTCTGGAGTCTGGGTTACAGATTCATTCATTTGTGTTTGCGTGCATGTGTCTTTAAATATCTGTACAGGTGAAAGTATGTGGGTGAGTCCCGTATACAGTTACTTTTTCCTTTGGAAGTCAGTGTGCATCCTTGGGATTCATTCCCCAAATACCATCCACCTTGATGTTTTTTGTTGTTGTAGTTTTTCTTTTTTCTTTTCTTTTCTCTCTCTCTCTCTCTCTCTCTCTCTCTCTCTCTCTCTCTCTCTCTCTCTTTTGGTTTTTCAAAACAGGGTTTCTCTGTGTAGCTTTGCACCTTTTCTGGAACTCACTCTGTAGCCCAGGCTGGCCTCAATCTCACAGAGATCCACCTGCCTCTGCCTCCTGAATGCTGAGATTAAAGGTGTGCACCACCACCACCTGGCCACATTTGATTTTTTTTGAGGGGTCTCTCCCTGGCCTGGGGCTCACTGCTTTGGCTCTGTTGACCTCAGTGAGTCCCAGAGACCCTCCTGTCTCTGCCTCCTCATAGCTGGGATTACAAGTGCATGCCACCATATCTGACTTTCTGGAGACAGAATTCAGGTCCTCATTCATGCTTGCTATGCCAACACTTTACCTACCGAGTCATCTCCTCCGCCCCTTAACTGGTACATTCTACTCAAGTACTCTGAAATGTTACGCAGTTCCGATCCCAAGTATTTCAGATAACCGGCACTCCAAGTGTATAAGGTAAGAGTTCATTTGGAGACTGGAATAGTTTCTTTTGTATCACTCCAACCAAATACACGAGAACTACTCTTACCGGGAGGTATTCATTTTGCCTTACAGTCTCAGCGAGTTCAGTCCATGGTCACTTGGCTCCATGCACTTTGGCAGAAAGTCATGGTGGCTGGAGGGTGGGGCGGAGGTGTTTCTTCACAGCGTGGTGGGCAGAAAATGGATGCAGGGGGGATTTCTTTTAGCTCAGCCTCAGAGGGTTTGGTCCATGGTTGTTTGGTCCCATGCATTGGAGCAGGACATCATGGGGGGTGTGTGTGGTAGAGACCAGTCCTCACTTCTTGGCAGATGAGAAGCATAGGAAGGTGATACAGGACTGGGTCAGGGTAGGACGTAGCCTTAAGGATGCGCCTCCAGTGACCTACTTCCTCCAATTGGACCTACCTTCTCTTTTTAACTTCATCGCAATCATACCACCATATAATAAATTCATCCAGGGATGAATCCATTGATTAATTATCTCAGAGCCCTTGTGATCTTATTATTTCTGGAAACTTCTTCACAGATACAACCAAATCTGTGATTCACCAGACAGTCACTATTGACTATCGTGTGTGTGTGTGTGTGTGTGTGTGTGTGAGAGAGAGAGAGAGAGAGAGAG